ATATATATATATTTTTTTTTTTTTTGCAAGTCGATACGATATCAGATGTGACGATAAAGACATATGACAAAATAACAAACAAATATAGTATTCCTAGACTAAAACGAGACTGTAAGATGATATTGATTTCTTAATAGCAATTCTTTTCAGATATTTATAAACAATAATAATAATAATAGTCTGCGTAATAATTAATACGATAGTTGAATGCCTAATATTGTACAAGTAGGAGAAACGATCGGATTTTTTCGTTTATACAGGGTGTCTTAGTATTCATGGTATAGGAAGGAAAATTCTGTAGAGAAAAAAGTATTACATAAAATATTAAAATTTTTCTTTTCGTTTGAAACTTTATTTTCCTTCGACAATTATTATAATCGAGAGGAGACATTTATAATATAAATAGATTACAAAAAAAAAAATAAATAAAATCTTACTTGCTTCCAAATTCCACGAATGCAACGACACTTTGCGCTTAAAAAAAGAGAAAAAAAAATCTTCTCATCGAATCTGTTTCAAAAATCTCTTTCAAATTATCGCGACGATTAAATATCAATTGAGACGCGAGATCCCAGAGCAGAAGCATCGGCGATCATCGACCGTCATTGTTTCAGACAACACGCTGTTGGCGATAGACTCGGTACCTCCCCACGGCTTGGTCCAACCGCCGCCTTACATTTCACCCCCCAATTCCGAGCAGTGTCGAAAGAAAGAGAGGATCCAAGAGATCTCCAACAACTCCCCCCACAAGATTCAGAATGAAAAGCAGCAAACTTGCGGGCGACAATCATCGGGCAACAACCCCGTCACCAAGATTCACGATCCCAGGCGGAACCTGTACGACGCCAACAACAAGCTAATGTTCGACCAGGCTAACGATTTGCAACGCGTTCGCGACCCCCGTCGCATCGTGGACATGAGGAACGCGAGGAATCAGCAATACTACGCGCCGCCAAAGGACTCGAACCAACAATTCTACACGTTACCCTCGAGAAGGCCGCAGAGGGATGTCGAGCCGCCTCGTAGCGTCACGCCGGATATCACGAGGGGTCTTGGACGAGGGGGCTCCCTCGGCACGATGCACGTGCTCGCGAGGCACGGGCACAGGGCCATGATGGAGCAGGATTCTAATCGGTACGGCTCGCAGGCGGAGTTGAACAAGAGGAACTCGGAGGCGGAGAACAGGTTGATGCAGAATCACGAGCATTCGTCGATTGTGGATATCAGAAATAGGTGAGCCTTTAACTACTTTGCAATCGTTTAACGAATTTTGAAATTTTTATCTTGTCCATTCCGTTTTATATCGCTCATTGCATTCGTACTTCTATACTTCTTATTCAAATTTCTATCTCACACTATCTTCTCCTTTAAGCGATCGAAAAAGAAAAAGAAAAAAGAAATCGCGATAAAGAATTGTTTAGCCAACGATTCTTCGAAGCACGATATGATTTTGAAATTTTTATCTTGTCCATTCCGTTTTATATCGCTCATTGCATTCGTACTTCTATACTTCTTATTCAAATTTCTATCTCACACTATCTTCTCCTTTAAGCGATCGAAAAAGAAAAAGAAAAAAGAAATCGCGATAAAGAATTGTTTAGCCAACGATTCTTCGAAGCACGATATGATTTTGAAATTTTTATCTTGTCCATTCCGTTTTATATCGCTCATTGCATTCGTACTTCTATCCTTCTTATTCAAATTTCTATCTCACGCTATCTTCTCCTTTAATCGATCGAAAAAGAAAAAGAAAAAAAGAAATCGCGATAAATAATTTTTTATCCAACGATTCTTCGAAGCACGATATGATTCTCTCTGTTTTTCTTCACCCAGATTCGCAACACCATTAGGGCTGACAGCGCTTGGGTATCGATTCTTCGCGTCCTCGCCCGTTCGTGATCCCGTTACGAAGTCTCCTAGTGCTGATGCGTTAAAGTACAATCCAATTTCACCGATCGGGCACGGATACGGTAACAGTTTCAAGTCGTCGACGCCTACCGGCCGCAGTATGCCAACTGTTGCCGAACGTCTGGCACTCACCGCCAACAACAATTCCTCCTCCTCCTCCTCGATGCCCAATTCCGGTAGGAGCACCCCCGTCCAAACCTCGTCGGGAAGGAGCACGCCCACCAATCTGATCCTTTCGCCGACCAAGAGCACGATGTCCAACGAGGAATTGTTCGCGGCGATCCACAAATCGAAGAAGAGGTTGAACATAAGGGACGAAAGTGAAAATCTCTCGCCTTACGGATCGACAAACTCGTTGGTGAAGATGACGATCGGGAACAAGAACGATTGGGGCACGGAATTGCAGAAATCACCAGCGGTAAGTGATTCGAAAATAGTTAATTCTCTGCAACTTTTTTTAAATGTAGAAATTTTGAACGGAGGATTAACTGCTAAATACTCAAATATATAGATACACCTTTTATTTATTGAACTATTTGTACAATATCGATAAAAATATGTCGTATAAATTTATCGCGAATTCACCGATCATAATTAAACTTCACTAAGAAGAAGAAGTATAATAATCACAACTTGAAGAATCAATATAACTTACATGTACAAATTAGAAAATTTCGATTGAATCTCGATTTCTCCATCTGCCAATCGTTGCACCAACAATCCGATCTCCGTTCCAGGTTACGCAGACGTCCAACCAACCGGCATCGCCAGCCACATCTCGCCTCGACTTCAAACGGCTTCTC